ATATATTGGTCCTATTTTCGCCGTCCATAAGACGTCAAAAAATGACGTCTTGTGGATGTGACATATCGACGTCATTTTCGAGTCTCATGAGACCTAACTTAGGACGTCTAATTGGTCATTTTGCGACCAAAATTTACCGTCATTATGACGTCATTTTGCTACTTGGGTACAAGCATTATTGCGCACATTTAAAAATTAAAAATACAAACGTACGTTTGCACACAAGACATTATTGCACACATACACATTGCACACATGACATTATTGCGCACATACACATTGCACACATGACATTATTGCGCACATACACATTGTACACATGACATTATTGCGCACATACACATTGCACACATAATATTATTGCGCACATACACATTGCACACATAATATTATTGCGCACATTTAAAAATTAAAAATACAAACGTACGTTTCACACAAGACATTATTGCACACATACACATTGCACAAATGACATTATTGCGCACATACACATTGCACACATAATATTATTGCGCATATTCTTTCCATGCGAAACGAGGTTCAACATGGGTTTACAACTTTGTTTGTGAACCTTGGTTAACCTTGTTAGGTTTACCTTGTTAGGTATAACCTGAGTAGGATTTGTTATTTGTTTTACGCGGGGGAGAGGCTTCGCCCCATAGGGGCGAAGTCCTCCGCCGCCTACGCGTGAAATTTTAAACAAAGCGAGGTTCAACATGGGTTTACGAGTTTCTACACAAAACGCAATAATGTCATGTGCGCAATGTGTATGTGTGCAATAATGTCTTGTGTGCAAACGTACATTTGTATTTTTAATTTTTAAATGTGCGCAATAATGCTTGTAGGCAATCGCTCTGTAGGCAATCGGGAATGTCGGCAATTGAAGCTGTCGGCAAAATGTTGTGGGCAAACGAAGCTGTTGGCAAATGGGAATGTAGGCAGTTGAACCTCTCTCTAAAGTAACACTTGTTATCGCTTTTATAAATCATGGAAACAATAATAAATAATTTCTTAGTGCATTGCGAGATAGTATAATAAATCTTTACCTGTGTTTTGCAGTAATTTTGCTTTCTTGAGGTAAACATTTGCTCAATTTAAATCCAACTTCCATATTTATGAATTTTTTTAATTTTTAAAATAATTATTTTAAGAATCTAATTATTAGAAAAATTAAAAAGTTTAATAATTTATTAAAGATAATTTAATAATTTATTAAAGAAAAATGAGATAATAAGTAAAACTGGTAAATATATTGACTAAAAGTGTTGAAGATATCACTATTTCTTTATTGTTATGTTTAAAACTAATTTAAAATAAACATTCTAATTTTTTTAAACAAAGTATGGAATTGTTTTTCTTTTAGATAATTTACTACAAAGTAAATTTTGAACTGGAACTTTATATATAATTCTATTTATAATATTCATAAATTAAAGTTTAATGCATACAAGTATAATGTTGTGTTATATCTTTCGATGATTATAAAAGTCATATGTTTTTATAGTTATCTATGTTGAGCTATTTCGATATTATAGATTGACGTAAATTGCATAATTAATTATACTTTGCTATAATCAGAATGTTCTTTTGTGTTTTACAGATTGACTTTGCAGATCAACGGAATAACAACTTCGCGGTTGCGCATTGTGGTGAGTAAGTTCGATATTAAGAAGATTTGAAGGCATATGTAAAATGTGCGCGACGACACACGATGCAAGAAAGGTACAGTGAGAAAGAGAGAGATGATATGAGGTTACGTCACGTGCGACAACAACTCCACCATACGGCTCACTCTCGAAACTCGTGTTCCCTCTCTTTCTCTCTTTCACGCTACATTTCATACGCGCGTACATTCCACGAATCTTTCAAATCTAAAATTGCGCGATCTTATTTTTGATATTATTTTGTTATGTTTCGCACGGCGATACTCGTGCTGCGCGGATCGTGTATCGGAACATATTGGTACGTTATTTCTATCATTTCAACCATCCTAACAAGTGCCATATTACACTTTTATTACTTTCTCATTACAATTAACCTTCAAATTCATCCTCGCCACTTGGTGAGATAAAATTATTTCTTACAATTATCCTCCTGTTGTTTTCTACAGAATATCAAATGTATCCGTGCGATGATATCTATGCGTATTATCTTTGTTCTTATGTAAGTAAGCTTCGAGAATACTTATATCGTACGTATTTACGTACCGTATAAAATGTTGCACGATAATAATCAACAGGATTTTTGCAAGTAAATTACATTTCCATACTGAGAGGAGGATGAGGCGTAGGACGGGCATCGGACATCGATGGAGCAACTTTAAGGTATATTTTGTTTACTTATTATCTATTAATTGCAAAATGTTGTAGGTACATAATAAAATAGTTGAAATTTTCAGTGAAACATTTACAATGTTACAATATTACAATATTTAATATTTATGATTGTTAGATTTTTTTATATATTTACAATATTAAATATATTATTTTAGACATATAAATTTTTAATAATTCTATTTTTAACTATTTGCTTGAAAGACAAATAAAAAGTTAATATGCACAATTATTTATCTGATACTAATTATTCCAAATGTTGCTATAATGTGAGTTTTTTTTTTATATTTTACAGATAACAACAATAAAGTACGCGTCGAAAGTGCCGCATAAAATATCGTGACATAATAATTAATCAAATTTTCGTGACTGAATCGTGTTATACTGAAAGAAGGAGCAGGCTCAAGATGGGCATCGGGCATCGGTAGATAAACTTTAAGGTATTTCTCATTTATTTATTATTTGTATAAATGTACACAGTAAATTTGTTGAAATTTTTTAAAGAACATTTACAATATTTAATATTTATGATTACTAAGTTTTATTACATATTTATAATATTATTATTTCAAATACATATATTTTTAATAATTTTTATTTTCTAATTTTATTTTAATGTTTTTATATTAAGCTGATGGATCTATAATTATATAAGATATACTTTCAATTAACACGTTGAGACTTACATCACTTTACATATTAATTATAAAAGTTTTATTATTCTTTATTGATTGCATAAAAATATTTTATTTTATTTTATTTTAAGTATTTTATATACTTTTATTTAAATAATTTTATTTTAAAATTATTTAATCACTATTCGCAAATAAATAAATAAACATTTAAGTATCTATCTTAAAAGAGTATTTATCATAAAAGAAGGAATTTTACGCGATTGGTTTAAAGTAGCTAATAAAAAAATGAAAAATACAAATTATATATCAATAAATAAGAATAATATAACATAAATTTCGCATTGTACATTGATGATTGAATCGCGTATTTCGAAAGATTTATTTCATCCAAATTCATCGCGCGGGCAGTCTTATTCACGCAAAAATTATGTAGTTTTGTCTTTTATTGTAAATATATCTACACTCACCCGAAAAAAAAGCGGTACACTGAAAATGTGGGAAAAATTCATCAAATTTCAACTGACGATAACTTCGTAAATAATAAAGATAGAAAGTTCTATAAAATATGGAAATGAAGCTAAAAATCTCTACTTTAAGAATCAATTTATTTCAATGTTGCAAAATAAATTTATTGAAAATGGCGGATGACAAAGCGCGAGCATGCAAAATTGAAAAATAATGGTTCGAGTTTGCGACGGTGCACGGTATAAACAAAAAATTGTAGCTTATTGGGATCAAAAGCGTACGAAAGTACAGAGTCTCCTCTTTAAAATGCTTTTTTATGCATCTTGATACGATGATTTTTCGCCGAGAGATTCGCATTTGAAGAAAAAGGCAGATTCTTACTTCAAATGCGAATCTCTCGGCGAAAAATCATCGTATCGAGGTGCATAAAAAAGCATTTTAAAGAGGAGACTCTGTACTTTCGTACGCTTTTGATCCCAATAAGCTACAATTTT